TGGCGTCCGGACGGGCAGTTCGGCCACAGAGAACCACTTGATGTCTTTGATCTCATTGCGACACAACGGGGCGAACGGGAAGTCCTTCGGCACGTCTTTCACGATATAGAGGCGGACAGTCTTCTCGCTGAGCTGCCGCTCGATATAGCTCTGGTGGTCAATACTGCCGCCGCAGTCATAGCTGGTCTCTTCGTATACCTCCCGTACGGCACACTTGTGGTACGGCTCGTCTTCGTTGAGTTTACCCTTCGGGAAACCCCACGACCGGCCGCCGAAGCCCTGCACCAGAAGCACGTGCTCGAGGGGCGGGTCCAACATAATGGCCCCACACGTGGGGACCAGTAGTTTATAGGTCTTCCATTCGGCGATAATGGCGTCCAATCGGGCGATGAATGGCTGCAGGAATGGTATGTGTCTGAAGATGATGGCCGAGAAGCGGGTGAAGTTCACTGATGGCAAGCGTGAGTCTTGGCCACGGATCAGATCGAGATAGTGCCAGTGCGCCAGCTCTAGTTGGAAGCACACCCGGATCAGGTCAGAGCGGTCTTCGCGCGGTATGTTTATCACAAAACGTGTGGACAAGTCGTCGAGTATTGCGGTCGGGATTACCGATGCGATGGATGTGATGCCCGTCGGCACCGGTGTCCGCGAGTTGACACCACCCGTGCTGTGGGTGTTATGGTTGTTGTGAACAGTGTTTGCGGACATCATTTGTCTGCGGTTTTAATTGCATTTAATTCTTGAGAAACACTTGATATGAATAAAGGCTTTGTTTTTGTTGTTTGCATTGAGTGTTGTGTTGAGCGCTGTTCGTATACAACGTTACGCTTGACAAACATATGGCCCCCTCTTGTGTACTGTTTGTAGTTTTGATTAGTGTTTAAAAATGTAAACAAAGTTTTGTTTTCACTTTTGAAGTGAATTGTAATTATGTTTTGTATTGATTTTTACGACATAAAAAAGTCAGACATTAATTGAGTTATGAATTGATTTTGTGGTAAAAATGGCGAAAACGTATTCTTCGGACTCTTTGGATCGATTCGGTG